ATAAAATTTTGAATGTTAGTGAAAAGACTTTCTAATAGAGAGCAACAGTCAAGCTCCATTCTATGTTGCCTTGATTGGGAGAATAATAAACTCCTATCAGAATTTCTTCCGTCTTTTGAATTGGTGGGGAAGTAAGAGGAAAATATTCCCAACAGAAAAATAATGCTAAAATTTGCTGATAATGTATTTTCCCTTTTGGAATCCTACAATATCAGTTTGTAGAACTAATTGATTATTTGAACTTCAGATACGAACTTGGAGGGGATGAGGAGGAGCAAATTGCCCGTTTAGCTGAGGATGGTGATATCTACAACAAATTGGCTCGCTCACTGGCCCCAGAAATTTTTGGTCATGAAGATGTGAAAAAAGCTCTTCTTCTTCTCCTAGTTGGTGCTCCTCACCGGAAGTTAAAAGATGGGATGAAGGTGAAAGCATGGACATTTATTTTCATTCTACTCAATGGCTATGATAACTTATCTTTTCTTTAACCAAGATAACATTTCATCCATAATTTAGTTCTCAATTATTTAGAGCCATCCATATTTTATTTCAAAAAACTTATATTTATTTGTACCATCATGAATTTAACCAGGCTTGTCAACGTGATAATGCAGATTAGAGGAGATCTACACATATGCTTGATGGGTGATCCAGGTGTTGCAAAAAGCCAGCTTCTCAAACACATAATCAACGTTGCACCAAGAGGTGTGTACACAACTGGGAAAGGAAGCAGTGGAGTTGGTCTGACCGCAGCTGTTCAGAAGGATCCAGTGACGAATGAGTTTGTTCTGGAAGGAGGGGCCTTGGTACAGTTGCTTTTTACGAGTTAACTTCAACTTTTCTTTTGCACAGTTTTTCTTGTATTGTAATCGTACATTTTTAAGTACCATTTTTTTTTATCAGGTTCTCGCAGATATGGGTATTTGCGCCATTGATGAGTTTGACAAAATGGACGAATCGGACCGTACGTCTATACACGAGGTCATGGAGCAGCAAACTGTTAGCATTGCTAAAGCTGGTATCACTACATCTCTAAATGCAAGGACTGCTGTTCTCGCTGCTGCTAATCCTGCATGGTATACCATGTCTCGAATATATATGCACATTTTTGCAATTTCATCTGCATTTTTGTAATTTATCCATGTTTGGCTTCTTTCCAAGTATTGAGGGTGGTGTAAGAGTCTGTTATACTTATATCTGACATTTAGAAGCTTATTCTTACTGTGTTATTTTTGATGTTTTTTAACGTTTTTCTTTTTAAATTTTGTTAAGGGGGAGATATGATCTGAGAAGAACACCTGCCGAGAACATTAATCTGCCTCCCGCTCTTCTGTCAAGGTTTGATCTCTTATGGTTGATCCTGGACCGAGCAGATATGGACACCGATCTTGAGATGGCAAGGCATGTTCTGCACGTTCACCAGGCAAAGGAATCTCCGGACCTAGGGTTTACTCCTCTCGAACCTTCAGTTCTTAGGTATTTCCGTTGTAGAACTTTTGATTTCTTTTGTAATTACTTATTATTGTTGCAGCACTCAAAATTTATCCTGACTTCTGTGTTGTGGATAATATGATACCATCTACGTAATTCTTGTGACTGTGTTGTCTAAGCAACTTTCATGTTAACTGTTTCCACATTGAGCTGAGTACACAAATGTTATTTTCAGGGCATACATTTCTGCTGCAAGAAAGTTGTCTCCAGCTGTACCAAGAGACCTGGAGGAATACATAGCAAGCGCTTATTCTAGTATCAGGCAAGAAGAGGCGAAATCAAAAACCCCCCACTCTTACACAACTGTCAGAACATTACTCAGCATTCTAAGGATATCAGCAGTAAGTATAGAATCACGAGTCACTTGAAACAAACTTTTATCAGTTTTGACTATTGGTCGACACTTGTTCCTAAGATACCATCAGGAAGTTCTTAGACCTCACTCTTGAGTATAATATCACGAATTGATTATGGGTTTTGTCGATCAAAATAACTGCTGATGGTTATACTATTTCCCGTTGATTCATACTGAAAAATGCATGCTTTTCCAAAATCTTCCAAAAGAAAATAAATAATTTTCATCCCTTCTCATCAGGCTTTGGCTAGACTCAGATTCTCCGAGTATGTTGCTCAAAGTGATGTGGACGAGGCACTTAGATTGATGCAAATGTCAAAATTCTCTTTGTATTCGGATGATCGTCAAAGATCAGGCCTAGATGCAATTTCCGACATTTATTCAATATTGCGAGATGAGGCTGCCAGAACCAACAAGGTGGATGTTACTTATGCCCATGCTCTCAACTGGATTTCGCGAAAGGTATGTTTTTATGGACCCTGATCGATATTTTCTGGGCTGGGGGTGATAAGAAATAAGTGAGATGGAATAAGTCTACTTGGGTCGCTACTGATGTAATTATCCTGCCAAACAAACTGTCCTTTAGTCCATTTTCTTTTGCGATGAAAGTTCAAAATAGTTAAGCTCCCTTTTTTTATTGAAATTGCTTTTGGGTGAACGCAGGGATACAGCGAAGCTCAGTTGAAAGAATGCTTGGAGGAATATGCAGCCTTGAATGTGTGGCAGATTCATCCTAATACATTCGATATCCGTTTCATAGATGCTTAAAATCACAAGTTTACTTAAATTTCGTGGTCATGTATGCCCCAGCATATGTGTCGAGTTATCCAAGGCAAGTTAACTAGTTATTTGAAGTTATGTGTCGAGTTATCTATTAGATGAATACATGTGACAAGATTTCGGACAATGTTGCAGTAATCAAGTTACGGTGTACGATTTGTTAGATGTTTTTGGAGTCTTTAAGGCGTCGTTAAACGCAACTCGATTTTTATGTACACCATACACTTTCTCTACTTCCCTGATTCTTCTAGCTGCCTCAAACCTATTCATCAACATTTGATGAGTAACTAAACCATAAGCCTCTAAACGAATTTGCCAGCTTAATTTACCTCACAATCCATAATGATTCAATCAAAAGGAACTGAATCCTTTTCTCCACCATCTAATTTTCCATCTCCAAGCATTTCGAGCACGAGCTTCCAAGCCTCTTCTCCATTTTCACAAGTGATTCATCTACACCAAGCTGTGAGACCACACGCTGCTACCTTCTGCTTTGTGAGATCAACATCCACCATCAATATTTTCTTCCCTGCCAACAGCTTTCGTCCAGTAGGTCCTCCAGCTTCCTCGATTTCAGTTTTACGGCACACAGACCTTTTTAATCTGGTACAAGCAGGACCCGTGAAGTGGAGATTCACCAAATGTATGTAAATTGGATTTGGTATTGTATTAAAAAACATAATTGTGATCACTCACCTTAAATTGTTGAAGAATTTTGGGGGCCAAAGTAATCGAACAGAAAACATTAATTCAAACACAAAAACAGTGCTTTAGCCGAGAAAACATTAATTCAAACACAAAAACAGTGCTTTAGCCGAGACTAATGCCCCACAATCAGCAATTTCCCGCATAAATTCCAGATTTTCAAAAGACAGACATCTTCAACACAATCCCAGCACCCAAAGACCACAATCTCCACAATCCTCACCAACATATATCCATCAACACCAACCGCATTCTCCTGATCCAAACCATTCCACCCTAATCATCTCCCCCATCTCGCCAGCACATTCGCCACCTCAGATATTGCCGGGAATTTCCTCTTCCGGTTTGCGCTCTCCAGAAAATCGAGCCGGGGCGCCTTCATTCCCTTGTCAATCATCTCCTTCAGAAACCCGCATGCCTCCTCTGACCTCCCCAGCCTAATAAGTCCCCCTACCAAGACAATATAACTATTATCATCCGGGCAAACTCCCCTTCTCTTCATCTCCTCCCAAATGCCACGCCCCATCTTGCAATTTCCCATCACAAAGTACATTTTCATGATCATATTGTATGTGTGGATAGACGGTTGAATTCCGCCCTGTATCATCTTCTTGTATATTGTCACAGCATCATCCGGCATTCGCAGGCGGGTCATCATTTTAATCAGTGCATTATAAGTCTGCCCGTCAGGCGAGCACCCTTTCTCTTTCATATCCTTTAACAGCCGGTGCACCGTATCCATTTTCTTATGTTTTGCAAAGCCTGTCATCAGGCAGGTGTACAGAGCCGGGTCGGGAGCACACCCTGACTTTATCATATCATCAAAATAATTAACAGCCTCGTTCATATAGCCGTGTTTACAGAGATAATTGATCAATATTGTGTAGCTCCTCACGTTTGGATGCGGCCCCTTGTTTGATCTCATGACCTCAAACAGCTTAATCGCATCCGACCTCTTGCTACATCTCAGCAAGCCATCGAGCATCGTGTTGTGGGTGACAACATCGGGCTTGAGCCCTTGTTCAATCATCTCGTTCCACACCCGGCACGCCTCCATCAGATTCTTCACACGGCACCAGCCGTTGAGCAGAATCGTGTACGTGTATAAATTTGGGGAGAATTTGTGCTCCATTTTTTCAAAAATAGCTTGAGCTTCCTTTGCAAGGTTGGCCCTACACAGGGCATCCAACAGGCAGTTTATGGTCTCAACCCCGACTTCAAAATTGTACTTCCGCATCTGATCGAAAATGCCAATGGCTTTTCTCCGCTCCTTTGAGGCCGCAAAAGCCTTGATGGAGATGACGAAGGTCTCCATTGTCAACAAACCCTTACTGCCCATTTCATCAAAGACTGCCGCCATTGTCTCAAACTGCCTCGTCATACTAAGGATCCTCATCATCGCGTTGTAGGTATTAGAATCATGATCAAACCCAGGCTTTTGTCCGGCCCAGATGAAAAACCGGAAAGCGGGCTTCCGGGCATGCTTGAACCGATCCAAGACAGCCAATACCAGTTCGTGACTAAGATTAATCCGGCACTCGTCCAGCACGGCCTCCATGTTCCGATCGACGGCAAACGTTTCTTCGATCACCTGGCATACCCGATCCACCTCCTTCCGATCGACCTCTAATTTCGCGCAGTCGTTAGCAGAAGATTCATTCTCGCAATCGCTCTCGGTTTCGGAATCGGAACGCGTCGGATCTACAACTTTGCTATAGGATCTAGAGTTATTCAAGCAAGGAAACGAACTGTAGGCTCGGATTAACGGCAGGACTTTTTGAAGAGGAGAGAGCGCAGAGGCGTGTGGCAGTACAAGCGGAATTTGACGATGAGCACGATTGAGGCTACAGTGAACAAAAGCACCAGACAGAAAATGCAGGGGCAAAGAGCTACCGTAAGATTGCTTTCTTTGAATTCGTCGTCCTCGTAGCGCCGAGGCTTGTCCGTCGCTGGTAGGGTGTAGCTCGGCGGCGGCGGCGGCGGCGGCGGGTCCGCCATCTCCTCTGAGGAAATCAGCGAGCCGCGCGGATTTTGCGACTCCAGATCTTTTGGTGTAGCTTAAAGGGAAAGCCATGGGGCAGCCATTAAATGGAGTGATTTTTACAGTGGAGGTAGCAAAAATTGCAGGTGAAGGGGATCAGATCTATCTGTGAGCTAATGATTTTGCCATGCGTAGATGGTCTTAGGTTGGGCTTTGTCAAGCTTTTGTGATATGGGCCTAGACTCGTAATAGCTGGGCCTGAAATTCTTTGAATAAATCCTCAAATACCTTCTTCTTTAATTATACTAGTATTTGATCATGTGCATTTGCACAGATATAAAACATGTTTTTGTTTGTATTTATTAATTAGACATGTACTTCTATCATATAAAAATTATTATTTTTTCTTAAGTTATTTTTATCATTCAAAATTAGTTGAGATGTAAATTTTATTTTAACCATGCAACATTTACATAAGTAACATGAATAAAATAATTTATATATTTGTGGCATATATTAAGAAAATTAACATAAATAAAAAAATTATTAGTGTTTCTTATTTTTAGAAAAAAAAAATATGTGTCAATCATATTTTTCTTCCAACAATGCAAACAAATATAGCTGTTACAACTCTGAATGTGCCAATCAACTTTAATTTCCACCATTAGTCATTACATTTGAATATTTTGCTACCAAATTTAGAATTAATTTAGTAACTGATCCAAAAATTAAATAATAAAAATATATATATTAAGGTGTGACGGTTTTAGCATATTAGTGAGTAATTAATTAAAAAAAATGTAACTCTTTTTGGAGGGAAATAAAAATAGGTTTTATTAAATGTTTTATTAAATGTATTAACTAGTAATTATATATATATATATATTTTCTTCATGAAATGGACACACTATTTGACATAATTTCATTTTTAGTCCACTATATTGATCATTTTCCATCAAAGATTCACCTTTTTGGTAGACGTTAAACTTAGCACATAATTTAAAAAATTCATCAAATAAGGTACACTAATCATTAGTGGCAGGATAAAATTCGATGTTCTGTTTCCAGTTGAATTCGAAAGCCGTTTGATATCCGTTTCAAGTGGGTGACCTACCGCCAAATTCTTCTAGTCGAGACGGTCGCATCTGTAAACTTTTACCCCAATTTTCGTTCATTTGCCCACTCAAATAAATTGAGTTATTTTTTATCCAGTTTAATTACGACGCCATATAACATCCAGTTTAGGTAGGTGACCCACCATCAAATTCTTCTTGTCAAACCGGTACTATCACGAAATTCGATTTCAATTGGAGATAGTTTGCCTGCTAATTTGTCATCCAAAATAATATTAGCCCAAATTCGTTGTTATCTATGTAGGGGCCATTTTGGTATCTTATGGTGTATGTTTTAGACGGATGACTCACCATTAGATTTGTCTTATTAAGACGGTCGTAATCATAAATTTTTAGCTTAATTAGATTTCATTTCCCCAGTCATTTATTTTCATCCAAAACACTTTGGGTTGTTCTGTTTTTCAGCTTAACTATAGTGTCGTCTCACGTCAGTTTCAAGTATGTGATCCACCATTGAATTCTCTGTGTCGAGATGGTCATAGAACCTAAATTTCAGACAAAATTGAGTTCGTTTACTTGGACAATTGCTCGTTCAAAATTATATAAACAAACTATATTTTCGGCCCGTGATTAGCCCGAACCCAGCCCTTGATAATCTGGCCTTTATCATGCCACTATTGATTAGTGTACTTTATTTGATGAAATTTTTAAATTAATGTACTACGTTTATGTATGCAAAAAAGGTGGACTTTTGCTAGAAAATGAACAATATTATACTCTAAAAATAACAGATTTCCCGATCTTGCAGAGTTTTTTTACAATGTTTTAGTGAGACAACGTATGAATAATCCATTAATGATGATCTATTCGAGGAGGAATAACTTTATGCGTCTACAACAGTTTTATCCTACCGCTTTTGCTGACGTGATGCATCAGTAACACATGGCCACAAGCTTCACTACAAAATTTTTAGATAATTTTGTCTCGATGTTTTTTTTTTTTGTTTTTTTTTTT